CGCCCGGCCTATATCTAGGTTTTAAAAGGATTAAAGTTTTGAACAGTTGATTAAAAAAAACCGTCAGAAAGATGTAACAGTACTGGTAAATACATACTTTTGGAGGAGGTTCTGCGGAAACACTACCAAGTTCAAATCCCACTTTTATCACATGAAGCTACCTTAACCAATAGGTTTTCTAAGATACTATCCCTGTTACCTATTTCTGCTTCTTGCAATAGTTTTTCCATTTTTACAGACTTATGAAAATTTTTCTCTGACTGAAATAAGCTTCCCCATTCCTTCATGTTACTATATCTAGCAATATTGAATGAATACAAATTATAAATGAAAATAAAAATGCTTGCTTTTATAAAATCTCCAGCTTTCCAGTACCCCCAAAATAATATAAACAGACTTGAGTCGAAATTTGGTTTGTTAATGCCCACCTTCTGTGTGGTTAAAACACAGTTTTGAAGGAATGATCACCTTCAATGTTCTTTACAGCTTCTTTAATGTTACTTTAAAAAGTCCAGTCTTAAGGATGATTGATGGCAGTTTGTTCATGGAAGATCTTCATCTCATGGGAATTATCTGGCAAGTTTTTCTAATCATATACTACCAACAAAAATAAACACAAGCATATTCCCTTTAATCATATTATCCTCCACCATCACTTCCAAAAGACATTGGCTCACAGTATTCTGTTTAAGGCTGTAGACCATTTATCCCAGCCAACTCAAACTTTATCCACAACCTATCATGACAGCCTGGTCAGAAGTGGTCTGTTCAGTCTGAAAAAACATTCTTTTCTAAGAGCTTCCTATATTGTGTGGCTGGTCCCTCAATTACTTTGTGCTCAGTTACAGCTTCCTGTCATCTCATCTGCTTGTACACAAATAGCTCAACTAAGTAACCCAACATATAAACTCTCACTAAAATCACATGTTGTATCTTAGGAAAGGCAATCTGGAAGTATCATGGACCACAGTGAGAATGTAAGGCTAACGACAGTTTGAAGTAGGGATGACACAAAAGCAAATAAATCATATTGACAATCATTCCCTCTACTAAAAAAGACAAATACTTGTTATTCTAAAATGACCTCCTCTGATTAAAATTTTGATTCATGAAACATTACAGTATGCTTCTTTATCAAAGTCTACATATCAGAAGAACATGGGCTCCCTGTTCTTGTAAAACTTGAAACAGATTTTTCTTCCTAATGGACATCAGTGGTTATATTAAAAGAAAAACTGACATAACCTAGCATTATCTTTTGACTTTGCCCATGGAGAAACTTGGAGTTAAATTTATCACTTAATTTTAGAATCTGTCAGTGCTGACATAGTTCTATCCTCTACAAATTTTTAATTTAAATTTTTAATATTTTAAAATTCCTTAAAATTTAAAAATTTTAAATAATTGTTCTGTTTACATGTAATATACTTGTAATATGCATGTAATGTACATTATAACTGTAATATACTTCAAATACTTTTGGAGGGTCTGATATAAATCATAATTAAAAATGACTGGCTCTGATCAAAGCATAAACAGATGTCTAATGAACGTGCTAACCACCCTTCTCCAATATACATCCATCCTAGAGAACAATAAAGAAGTCTCCAAGTCATGATTTCCAATATAAACTATTTAGATTTCAGGCTGCTGGAATCTAATAATCTGCCTTTGAAGATGACTGAAACACACACATAAACGCACACACACACACCGTTGTAGAAGTCATGTGCATCTCATGAGGTACTTTCCCTAAATACATCCAAACAGATAACCAACGTTTTGAAGACTACCTTATTTCTCATTTGGTTAAAATTTTCAAGAAAAAATATTTACAATGACTTAAGGAGTACTGTATAAATAGCTACCTAAATACAGAACAAATTCAAAGGATGTGGGTCAAACATAGCTGAGCTCTACTCAGCTCAAATTAGATGAGTTTTTTGACTACAAAGCTCATTTTCTTAACATATGGGTTTCTGCAGGACTTGATAAGATTGGCTAAGCACCATAGTAATCTTTTAAGACATTAATCCAAAACATGGTTCTGTATTTTAAAAACCTCAGAAGTGGTTTTAGGACAACAGAAGCATCTCAACCACTAAAATAAGCAAGTTTCTATTATAAGTAAAATTACCCCAGCACGTCTTTTAACAGTTCAGCAACCAATAAATAGAAAATATTCTTTAAAAGCTGCAATTTCTGATTGTTCCTTTGTATTCTTCAACTGTAGGTGAAACATATGACATACGGAAAATAATTAGTTGTCAGAAAGCTGTTTACATGATATGCATCTTATGAAAAATATTAGCCTGGGCCAAGATTAAAGAACTTGGACCAGATGCACAGTATTTCTACTACCCTGGCTATGGGCTCCTCCTGAATAGTGTCTAGCAATTGAGCAATTTCAGAAACATGTTACAGCTTAGCATAGTAACGATGACCACTACGTTCAGCTCTCCTGGAATTAATACAAGAAAGACAACTAAAGATTTACTACAAAGACATAAGTCTAAAACTGTCACATTTGCCCAAGAAAACTAAAAGAACCCATCTTAACCCATATTGAACACATCGGCAAAGACCAATGTTATACTGAAGTGCATATTATCAGACGTTATTATATGTAACCACCTCTAATATTTATCTAAGTGCTACTAAACCCCCAAAAGATTAGACTTGTGAGAGCATAATTAAAAAGCACATTCCTTATCACTTTTTAAAGTTAAATATGGTCTCTTCTACTGAAGCAATTTATCTTTTTCTGGTTCCTAAAATAGGCATCAAATTTCTAAACAGAAGTAAAAAGCCTCAGCCAAAGAGCCACATATTAGGTATTCAGCCTGATCTAAGAAAACTAAGTTAATAAACTGAATAAATTAACTCAAATAAATTAGGAGTGCACATTGAGAACAGAATGGTAGCTTTTGGTCAGCAACATGTGAACCAAAGGCAAAAATCTGCCATGAATAAGGCAGTTTTTCTGTATACAGTACAATTATTTAAAATGCACTGCCAAGCTAGAATACAAGCTTCTTAATAATAATATTAATAATAAAAATAGATGTCATAGAAAGTTCCTTTTGGTTTAGAGTCTTCCTTAATACCTAAGCTTGCTTTTGCCTTCACACACTAGGTGTAAGAGATTACTGCAACAATCGTTTGACTTTGGCCACAAAGCATGAGTACTGTCAGGGTGAAAGCCGTTGGAAGGAATTATTTTCTTCTTCTGCTGGAGTCAGTTTAAGTGTTGGCAGTTTCCGAGGAGGAAGCTGAGGGCTTTGGCGAAGATTGTCATCCATCTGTAGAAAGTACAAAAGATACATCTGACTAATGCTGTGGCATCGCTTATATGGACTGTGGCCTCCCCATCCAAACTATAGCCTAGAGGAGTACAGAACCATATGTTTCCTGGGCTGCTAAGAGAAACCTTTTTCTTGCAAATAATCTCAAGAATTCTAAATGTCATACCTCAAATACCAGCTGACTCAGTTTCTGTAAAAAGCAATGTGCCTCATCCCTGATACCCTCACATACCTTCACAGAATTATAGTAATTCCACAAAATAAATATTCTACTGAACTCAACTATAGCATAACTTAAAGAGGTCTTCTGATAGAAAGCGTAAAAGCAGTACTGTTACACTAAGCTCCAGTTTGAAAACTATGTTTATTTACAATATCTTATTTGATCTTCCTGACACACTGTGAAGAAAAGGCAGACACAGATCTTCCCTCTTGTACAGATAAGAAGCAAAACGAGACTCTATAAGGTTAAGTGATTTGCCCCAGGTCACATGCTAGTATGAGAGCTGAAACTTGAACCCAGGTCTTCTGATTCCAAAACTATTATTCTTTCAACTATACTTCTTTGCCTCAATGAAAATGACCTGTATTCCAATCGAAAAAGACCAGCTTTTTTAAGCTGCGACTGTGTAGACCAAAGAAAGCTAGGAAATTAGGCAAAAAGAAAGATAAATTCTTTAAATCTAATCTAATCCAGAAAAACTGGATCAGTTCTAAATGAGGTAACCCACATCAAGCTCAAGAAACACAGTGCTGGACCTCAAAAACTCTTAGCCAGTGTCATTAGGCCTAATTGCCCTGAGTTTGTAAAATAATAAGTATTACTTACTTGTACAGGGGGGAAAAGAAAAAAAGCAAGTTTATCAGTTTCTGGGGGAAAAATATGTAACCTCTTGTATTTTTCCAACTAGAATCATACTTGAAATTTCCTTTGTTGGCTCTCTCCCCTATCCAGTTCCTCAATCTCTCTCTCTCATGAAAGAATACCCCAAAGTGCCAAAATATCTACACTGGTGAAAAACTATAGAATGCATCTAGAGTACATAAGAACAAGAAGGAGAAAAAATAAAACTTTCATGTGGAAAAAAGAAAAGGACATCATGGTGCCGTTCATAAGAAAGGATAAGCCCAGTGCTTACAATCTCAAGAAACATTAACTTAAGAGACAGGGAGGCAGACATGCAAGCAAGAAGTGTTTTTGCTTTGTTTTTTTAAAGCAAATCTTTTGGATTTCCCAGCTGAAAGGATACTAATTGTGTGGCAAAAGTAAACCCAATATCCTTTTATCTGATCTTTTCCCAATGCAATAGGGCCACTATTGGCTTCAAAACACTATGTTACATACAACTTTAGTAAAAGCATATTCAAATAGTTTTCTGAAAAATAAACTGTTTAAAAACCTAAAAGGGTACAGTTAATGCGTGACCCAAATGACATTATTAGCTACAGAAAGGAAAATGCTAAACTATGATAAAATGATTGAAGTAGACTTGACCTTTTCAATCAAGTTGGATTCCTTATTTACAAGTTGTGTGAGTTTCTGCAGATTTGCATCTACCATATCTTGTCCAGCTGGAGAGATGCCTAAGAAGCCAGGACAGAAATCAGAGAGAGACAGGAAATTTTTAAAGCATTTAAAACTGTTTAGATTGAAAGAATTTTGAGTCTACCCACCCTGTCTAGTGCCCCACCCTTCCCAAAAAAGGCAAAGAGAAAAACCATTCTGGGTTTAAAGGTAAAGTAAGAGAGGGATTTGAATGATCCAAAACTAAACCCTGAGCAAAAAGGATGAAAATATGTCCATTAAATACACACTACTAACCAAGTGTTCTGCAACTGGCCACAGTAATTCGTATAATTTTTAAAAAAAGAAAAAAAGCACAGCAGTCCTCATTTCCTTCTCAAATTTAAGCTATTCCTTTCTCACACCCATTTCAAATAGGTCTTCAGTCACAACTGTCTGGATAGTTTTCTAAGGCAGTAACTCCCAAAAAGTTGCCCACCAGACATCCAGAGTATTTAGAAGAACTTAAAAAATACAAATTCTTAGGACTGATGCCTATGAGATTCTAATTTAGTAAGTCTGGAATAGGACCCAAGTTTTTTTAATCTGTCATAGTCAAGTTTGTTAATCATTGCTCCCAAGTAACAAGGTTGAACACACTTAATTTCATGACTCCCAACTGCTAACCCCTTCCTATACACAACACATACCCCACCTTTAAATATAAACTGTCCACCTGAGCCAGCTATCTTTATAACCCGTTTCTTAAAAGGACAATTTCAGCCAACCCTCCCAACAGAAATTTAGTATCTGAATCACTTAAGCATAATGCCCCACTGTCTCAACAAAGCACATCCTAAGTGACAGGTGCCCTCTATTTACTATACCTCCATTCTGATGCAATCAGTTTTCGAGTAGTGGAATCATGGGAGTGTACCTCACCAAAATCAATCTGCTGCTGATATCTGTTCACGCAGGAAAATGCTAGAAGCAGCAGGTAAGAATCATTTAAAGTAATTGCCCATTTGCATTAGGATAAATACTGTTTTTCAGCAAAGACTTAATACCTGTGGTTTTAACCTTTTAGAAGAAAGTGACCCATTTCAAAGTGGCAATATTTAAAGACTAAGCAGCAGGAAATGCAAAAATCCAGAGGAATAAAGGGCAACTATCTATTTTTCTATTTAAATAAGAACTAACATATGAGAATAAAAATGAAGTTGAAAAAATGCAAATCCTTGAAGTCCTATAAACCACTATTTAAAGACAACACAAAAACTTTTAAAATTAAAATTAGTGGATTTTGCTTATACACCCATAGAAGAATATGCAAACAAACATTAGCTGAAGAAGAGTCAGCTTACCTCCAAGACTAATCCTAAAATAACTGCTCAGGATGTCATCACAAAAGCGACAGAGGTTGGAGAGCTGTTTCAGATGTTCTTGTAGCTGAATTTTAGGAAACCGTACTTTGTAAAGAGGTGCAAGAAAACCAAAAACATAGGCATCCAAGGTAGAAGGCCTAGAAGTAAATTAAGGATTTTTAAGCATGTAAGAAAATATTAACTAAAGGCTGGGTGCTCATGCCTGCAACCCCAACACTTTAGGAGGCAGAGGCAAGAAGATCACTTGAGGTCAGGAGTTCAGAGACAAGTCTGGCCAACATGGTGAAACCCCGTCTCAACTAAAAATATAAAAACACCGGGTGTGGTGGGCACCTATGATCCCAGCTACTTGGGAAGCTGAAGCAGAATTGCTTGAACCCAGGAGGCAGGGGTTGCAATGAGCCAAGATCACACCACTGGCACTCCATCCTGGGTGACAAGAGCAAGACTTTGTCTCAAAAAAAAAAGAAAATATTAAAGATTTTTTAAGCACATATGAAAATATTAACTTGAGATTGTGTTTAAATTTTTTTTCAAATTTCTCAATTCTGAATTACACAACAGTCTTTTAAAAGGTTTACTAACCATTTTAGTTCATAAAAATGATGCAACTAAGGTTTTACTCATTGAGTAGCTTAGACTATTTTATTTAGAAGAAAATGAAACTGTCATAGACTCATTTTTACTCAAGTGTTAAATAGATTGGAGGCAGAGTGGGAACAGTCTTAGATGTTTTAAATTCACATTTGCAGCCTATTAAGTCAATGTTAGATTATCACTGATAGAAAAAGTTTCCTATAATAAAAATCGATTAAATCTTTTTTTTTTTAAGTGAAAAACTCATCTTTTGGGGAGATAAGAGGACTTGCTTTAAATAGCTGCTCACTGAATATATGTGCACAAAATATCAGAATGATTTTTAGGGGAATACTCACGTATTTCCAAAGAAAAACTGAGATGTTCCCAATCTGTTTGATAGAAGATTTAGGCACTCCTTGGCATCTCTGTATATCTAATAAGGATGAAATTACACTTCAAAAGTAGAGAAGGTACTCTAAAACTATCTTTGAGGCTGACATCTCCAGGTAAAATCATTTCTGCTATTTCTCTTGTCCTTTCTCTCGAGGGCCCTTGCTTAGAGAATAATCCATATCATACCTGTGCTTCCACTTCTCGGAGGTGGTAGAGGGGAGGCTGTCCTCTGGTCAGGAGGATCCTGTTCAGTGCTCCCCTAGACATTCTTCCAGGTAGAATCAAGCTCAAAGGAAAAGGAATTTGTGAAGCAAACCATGGCTTTGTCACAGTAAAGTAATTGTCACTCTCAACCCAGAATGTGTGAAGCTGCAAAAGAGGAGAAAAAAACATTACAAAGATGTTCTTTTATTAAAAGACCACTCAATGTGAGAGTTTCTCATAAATAATCTTTATATAAAGTGACTTCATACAAATTTTCCGGTTAGAATGACTCAGGATAAAACAAGATTATTTTAAATGTGTGAGTTTTGTTGACTGCCATATCCCAAGCACCCAGAACAAGGCCTGACACAGAGCAGGTGCTTGATAAACATTCTGTGAATGAATGAATTGCATCCAATTCTATACTTGGAGCAAAAAGATCCATCTCTCGCAAAGAATTTCCAAAATGATATTTTCTGTTACTTTGTTGTTTCACATACTAGTTGAATGCCTAATAGAATCCAGTTTCACAGTAATATGAAGCAATCAAGATTAACATATAAGTAAAACTTTCTCTTAAGACTTTTCTCATTGATTTTGTTCTAAGCAGACTATGTACATTTGTAACTAGGCCACTAAAATCCTGTTGTATTTAAGAACACTCACCACTGCAGGGAGAAGCTTCTCTTCGAGGAGAGCAATATAAGCCAATGTATCTGCCCCTTGTTTTGCTGAGAGTTCATAATCAGCATTATATTTCTATTAAAAAAAAAAAACAAATTCAGAAGTCAAAGAATCCCAAAGACAGTAAAACTAATCAAATCAGGATTCCTATATTTCCTCACAAGTGGCAAACGTGGTATTAAAATAGAGGAAAGAGAAATACAAACCCAGTGAAACCTATTGCTTAATGCACATAAAGTTCTTAGCACAGCATCACAGACACAATACGGTCAATAAATGTTACAATTTATTAACTACTATTATTTTCATGCTTGTAAATGACCTAGTTCAGCGCATGGCATGTAGTACAAACTTAATAAATGCAACTAATATTTTTAACAAGAAGGAAACAGTTCCAATTGGCTGTGTTTCTCCCCATGAAAAAAGAAAAAACCTTCCAATTTATAAAAGTTCAAAATTTTATTGACACAATTTCTTTTTAAGTACAGTATGGGCAAAACCAAGATAACTTTTGCCTTTATATAAAATTTTACATGTTTAAACATTTTGGATACATAATGCTCTACTGTTAAAACATTTAGATACATTATCGAGCTTCTTTAAAATAAAATAATATAGTTGCTGGTTGGTGGGAACTCAGATGTTGTGCCCAGCACAAAATGTGTACCAACTATGTGACAAAATAGACAATCCTGTCAGTAAGTGTAATAGTGAAAATAGCTAAATCTACTTACATACAAATTTCAATAAAATTCAAGCAAAGTGTATTAAAATATAAATTGACTCTACCTCATCACGACTTTCAAATCACAGATACTCATGCTTTGCAGTAGTGATTCTCAAATCTATCAAATCTATTTTTAAATCATATCCCAGGTATCTCCAATTGTCTAATGAGTGTGCAAAAAAAAAAAAGCCCAACATGAGGGATCAATAATCTACCAATCTACTTCTTCAAAGTGAACCACCCACCTGTTTTCTTAAAAAGTTTAATATTTTTGCTGGCTGAGAAACAATGTTGTCTTCAGTTGTCAAAATTGGTACATCGCCTATAATCAAAAAACAGTTTATATACAAGGACACAGTGTGATTTCCTCTGAAGAAATTCCAATACCCTAAAAACTATAGCAATTGCACATTTAGAGGGGAAAAAATGAGTAAGCTTGCCGTAGTTTTTTTGCAGTTTACAAAGAGTGGTTCTAGAGAACATTTTCATTTCTCATAATTTCCAGTGATTTGGCTTGCACTTTGAGGTATTACTCAGAATGATCAAACCGTAAGCAACCAAAGCCAAGGTCACGGTAAGAAACTAAATCTTCAATGTACTGTATAGCTATATACCTCGTAGCTTTAAATGGAAGAATAAAAAAAAAACGAGTGCAGAAAGGGGAGTGTAAAGGTTTACACTATACCTCTTGAACCTCTCCAGGTGTTATCTATCACATTGACTTTCAAGGGTGCACCAGAAAATTTGGCATAAGCCTGAAACAGAGTTTGCAATCAAACATTTTAGACCGAGTGCGTAATGCAAATCTTCAGAGCAGCTTTACTGCAAAGCCCCATCCCCCAAAGGCAGAAGGCGACTGATACTGAGGCCACATCCCTCCCCGTGATCTCCAGTAGGGACACGGGCGCCAGCTACCCCGCTTTCGGGGGCTTTGCTCCCCAAAAGGTCCTGCGGATGCGGAGTACGAAGGGCGCGCCACCTGCTTCGGGGTTTCACTCCACCGCCCAGACACCTTTGTGAGGCGGACAAAACTCGGACCCAAGCCGAGAAGCCTTGACGTTGCCGCTGGCCTTCGGCGGGGGTCACAGGCCAGGTTGGGACTCGTCGGTGGGAGGGAGCCCAGGGAGATGCAGCGTGCAGCGGCCCGGCTCTCCCGGACCCGGTAGCGCAGCGAAAAACTGGGGCAAGTCAGCCTCGCGCCTCTGGCCCCGCCCCTTCTTCCCGCGACCTGGCCCGCGAGGCGGCCTCACCATCACCACCAGGGACTCGCTGTGAACCGATGGGAGCCCCCAGCCGCCTCCCCAGCAACTGAGCTCCAAGGGGGCCGCCATCTTGCGGGGGTCGACCTTTACTATCCCGGAAGTACTTTTCCGCCTAATTTCCGGCACGTGGAAAGGCGGGGGCGTGGCGAAGGGAGAGAAGGGCAAATTGAGGGAAGAGAACTACTGGAGGAATTAAAAAGCACTCTTAGGAGCAGCTTGGCCTAAAGGGTAAGAGTCCTGAGCCTTAAGTCAGACGGACCCATCAGTAATTCTTCAAATATTAATATTTATTAGATCCCTAGAGTGTTCCAAAACCTTTGAACATTCAATCTGTGTGAGACCTAAATTAACGTGTTTGTAAAATAGGGATGACACAGTATTTACAAGACTGTGGTGTTTAAAATGACATGAAGGGGAAGAACTTGGCACAAAGGAGACACTCAGTAATTGTTCAACCCCTCTCCCATATGTGTGCCGTCTGCCTGCCTTTCCATCTCAATCTCAGTTCTCACCCTAATGTTCACTGGCACCACCCTGCTTAAAAGTTAACACTATTCCTGAACGTTGTCAGGTAAATTCTGCCTACCTTCAGTGCTGCTTCTTTAATCTGGAATATCTTTCTTCCCTATGCAACTGCCACCTCGAAAATGAGCTTAACTCACCTTCCCTGTGATGCATTTACAAAAGTAGGATCTCTGGGTTCCTGCAGCCCCTTGCGCATACCTAATAGCTTCTCTCTCTAGCTACAGACCTTTTGCCTTTCACAGAAGAGGGCTAGCTTCAGAGGTGTGGGACCTGTGCAGTCACACAAGGCTCCGTGCTTAAAAGGGCTCCTCATTTGGCTGATGCTCTTCCATCATTGTCTTGAAATTCTTAAGTTTTGAACAGGGGACTCTATTTTTATTTTGGACTGGGCCCAGCAAATTATCAAGCCAGTCATGTCTGTGGGCCTAATGAGCACGGACTAAATGTTTCTTAACATTAAACATGACAATTTCTGAGAAAAACTATTAAAGAGGAAATTTTGGTCTTGGAAATGCTATGATCCAAGCATATGACTGGGTCTCAGAGTTAGAACTTTGGTGCTGGGTCTTTTTTCTAGACGATGCAGTAGTCCTTCTGGGATACCCTCCCTGTCATGCCTCTGAGTTCTTTACTTTTCTTTATCCCATGGAGATGGTTGGGTCTCTTTAAACAACTAAAACTCAGAATAAACCTCTACAACTTTTCGTAAAATTATTCAACAAATATTTGCTAGGCACTCCCTTACTGTTTACATAGTCATCTAAATTACCCTGCCAGCCTGCTAAAGTCTTTTTTACATGTGTCAGAAACAAGGTTCTTAGAAATGAGAGATAATTCGGAGATGAGAGTTCATTAATAACTGTGTAACTGGGAAATGCTTAACATATGTACCATTAAAACTATCGAAACATTTATTGAGCAGCTCCTATGTCTAAGACATTATAAGGCTCTGGAACAATACAGAGATATATAAAATATGAATTCTGTCCTCAGGAGTTTACAGTGCACAAAGGAGACATACACACAGCAAGGTGTAACAAGTCAGATAATCATGAGTGGGGTTAGAAATAGAAGCAAAATACTAGAGAAACGCAAAGGAGGGACAGTGCATCCTCTGTGTGATCAGTGGATACTGTTGAGTCTTCAGTATAAAGAAAGTAATTCAACTTTCAGATTCAAGTAATGGAACCTCCCTGTTTTGAGCATTAAAAATGCCAAGACATAGACTGACAAAGGCAAGGCAGGGAAAGTTCCTAAGCTGTAAAGCTCAGAGTCCATATACTACAATGAGGCTTTTAAAACAGTCATACAGAAAGAATGTGGATTTCCTGGGTCTTGTTTCTGAGAGAAGTAGATGAACATTCTTAGTGGACACATAACGCAGTTACTCAGTTTGGCCTTCTCCCATACTGCTGCTGCTACATACAGTGATTTCATTTGCATTAAAGAGAATTAAATCTCTTCCCTTAGTGTTGAATTAAGACACAATAGCATGCCATTGCATCTGATGAAAGAATCCTTACATACAGGTTTATTAGTGCATAGTTAATAGCAATCTTTTATTGCTGCAGTTCTTCCCAAGAGTCTGAATCTGTTAGATTGAATTTAAAAACTCTAACATAGCCGATTGCACAAACAGCCTGAATACTGTTCCAGAGAACCGCACAGAAAACTGAAACCTTCAGAAATTATGCCTGGTATGGGTAGTTGGCTCCTGTGCGTTTTCCTGGCTGCTAAAGAGTATTGTTCAGAGTTCATCAAAATCATAATTTTAGATTCCTACCGGGAAGAATACTATCTGCAAGACATCCATGTATGTGTGGGATGGCCTGAATCACAGCTTTATAATGGGTATCCCAGACAATGTTTTCTCCCAAAAAAGAAATCTTATTTTTCAAAAGGTGATCATTAAAATGGTTTTATTTGATGATAGTCATCTGAACTCAGGCATTCTGACCTTGGCATCCATTCCTGTCCTTCATGTGTTTCTTAACTTGGGAGCCATGGTGCAAGATTTGTTAGGCTCTTTTTGTCTGGGTGATTAAGAATCTGGGAAATGGTGCTGTTGGGAAAGATGAAAGATTTGTGACAAGTGATGGTGCAGTATTTGGTCCCTTATGGGAAAATTGTAGAGTCTTAAATATTCCTTTGAACTTGAAGATTCTGTAATTCGTTTTCAGATATAAAATCCTTCAGGAGAAAAAAGATCAAACACCGAATACAAGTCAGGAGAGCTAAGTTCTTGACTTGGCCTCTGATTAGCCATATGCACTTGAGCCAATCATTTTACATTGATTCCTTTGCTTGTTCATTTATAAAGCAAAAGTTCTTTTGTCTCTGAGACCCTATCATTTTATGTGTAATGAACATTTAATAATTTCTGACATTTATGGAGCAATATCTAAATGCTAGAAGTTGTTTCAAGTATCTAACATAACTTACTTGATCTCCATAATAACTCCATGACACAGGTGCCTTCCTAAGGTTAACTAACATCTTTGTGTCCCTCCTTGAAAATAGAAGAAAACATCAGTACCCATATAGCCAGTAGGTGGTAGAATCAGGATTTGAGACTTGGCAGTTTTGGTTCAGTTTATATTATTAACCACGGTGTCATATTGCCTCATGTAGCCTCCTAAGTAGTCCATTAAAAAGCCCAATTTCACTCAAAGTGAAGATATCAATGCCATGATATTATCGTTATTACTTATGCAAATAATATTTATTTAGTATTACACCATTAAACAAATTCATTAAGTAGCTATTGTATGCCTTGCATACTGCAAGGCTGTCAGGGAATAAAAACTCATGTTCGTGGCTGGGCACGGTGGCTCACGCCTGTAATCCCAGCACTTTGGGAGGCCAAGGTGGGCAGATCACAAGGTGAGGAGTTCGAGACCAGCCTGGCCAATGTGGTGAAACTCCATCCCTACTAAAAATATAAAAAAATTAGCCAGGCATGGTGGTGCATACCTATAATCCCAGCTACTCAGGTGGCTGAGACAGGAGAATTGCTTGAACCCAGGAGGCAGAGGTTATAGTGAGCAGAGATCACACCATTGCACTCCAGCCTGGGTGCCAGAGCAAGACTCCATCTCAAAAACAAAAACAAAACTCATGTTCACCTGTAATCCTAGAACTTTGGAAGGAGGATCACTTGATCCCAGGAGTTCAAGACAAGCATGGGCAACATGATGAACCTTCTCTCAACAAAAACACAAAAATTAGCTGGGTATGATGGTGTGTGCCTATATTCTCAGCTACCTGGAAATCTGAGGTGAGAGGATCACTTGAGCCTAGGAGGAGAAGATTGCAGTTAGCTGTTATTGAAGAAACTTATGTTCAAGTTTTAAGAGGCACAGTTGATGAAACAAGGTCCACATATTGAACTAAGTAGAGACTATTACGGAGTACCATTTTATCAAGAATACAAGTCTAATATGATTTTAGACAAAGGCCTTAATGTAGTGCAATGCTTGGCAAAGGCCTAATGAAAGAAGTAAGATGCTAGCTGATCTTGAAGGGTGGGTACGTTGCATTTAGATTGGCACAGGGTAAGGCATTGCATGTGGGCTGTGCTACATGAGTGAAGGCATAGAAATGGGACTGACCACGGCAAGGAATAGGAAGATGAATAAATGAATGCTAGATTTGGTTATAAGCTGGAAGCTGCTCAGGGAGAGTATTGATTGACTAACTTGAGAACCAGAATTGGAAGGCATGGGAATTTGTAGTTTTGAGAAAGTAAAGAAGACAAATAAAAGTCCAAATACGATGTTAGTGGGCTTACATAGTCAAGGATGGGAGGTAGACAGCTATTGTTACATGGACATTATAAGAAGAAGCATTTTGTAAACCATAAACTGTATTAAACAAAGTAAAAATGTGGTAGAAAATGAAGAGAAAATGCTGCTGAATATTACTGGAGGAAGGTCACTTGACACCCTTCCACTGAGCATTTTTTATAGACGAGGTTGTTAGAAATCCAGTGGCCAGGGATTACTGGAGAAAAGGGTATAAACAATAAGGACAGGTAAAGAGCATGCGAAATAGGACGGATACAGGAAGAAGAGAAATGGGACAGGAGTGAAAGACTCAAGAAAGTTTTTGAAAGAGATGACAGGGTGAAACTACACACATACGAAGACAAAATTGGCTGTTAGTGAGTAAAAGCCTGAAGATGCTGGAGAGAAGGATGGGATGCTAGGAATTGCCCCAAGAGTTGAGGCTGAGATCTGGAGCTTGAGCGGCAGGGCTGGCATTGAAAATGAGAGACATGCTTTCTTGCTGACACTGGAGGAAATTTCAAGGGGAACTACGGGATGCTGAGTAGATCAAATCAGTTACCTTCAAATTTCCCTATTACATTATCAAAAGTGCCTGAGATAAAGAGATTGGTGCTTTAAAAAGACAGCTGGGCACAGTGGCTCAAACCTGTAATTCCCAACACTTTAGGAGGCCAAAGCAGGCAGACCACTTGAGAATCACTTGAGGTCAGGAGTTCTAGACCAGTCTGGCCAACATGGTGAAACATGGTCTCTACTAACACAAACAAACAAAACAAAACAAAAAACAA